AAAAAAAGGGGAAAAACGCGAGATCAAGGCTATTATCTTGAAAGAAAAGTAAATTTTCAGTTTTATGATAATTGGTTATGTAATTAGTGATAATAGATTATTCAAATAACAATGAACTGCTAGTAAAAAACATTTTTTTTATTGTGGGAAAAACTAGTTATAACTACATAATTCTAAACAATTATGTCTAATTGTTTGCCCAGAGTATTCTACACAGAGTACTCTATTGTTCTGTTATTGTCTCTCTCTTTTTATCTTATAAAATTTTGTATTGCRTGGTCTTTCTCTAACAGGTCGCTGCTGAAAATCATAAAGTGGTCTTAACTCAATATTTTTTTATAATTATGAATTACAAAATCATCAAAAAGCAAAGTGTTTTATTAAATAAACTGCTCCAKAAAWGTTAAGYAAGTGTGCAATAATTACAATAATTAATTAAATTAATAAATTATTAAAAAATAAATTAATAATTAACTAAAAGTGATATAAAGGCAGATATCTTTTTACTTTTTTGTTTTTGCTCAATTCCACAGTGCTTAGAAGAATAAAATTTTAACTTTTGTGGAGCAGTATACAGGGTGCGCCAGAACTAGCGTCCCAGAGAAAAATGTCATATAAGGTAAGATAAGATACCAGGAACATAGAAAAAATGTTAAAAAAATGTATCTATAAAAATTTCAAAGTGATGAGAGTTTAAAATTTGCACTTTGACTCTATTTCTGTTGGAAAAATAATTTTTCAAGTTTTTTTGCTAGTCTATTAGAAGAGGAAACAAAAAACTTATATCCTAAATTGTAACTCTGTTCAATGTTATTTGTGGTTTTTATTAGCAAAATTTTTGTACCTTTACGAAATAATTAACGTCAAAAAATAAATGTCAAAATTTTTTGACAGATAGAATTTTTTCCATGTTCCTGGTATCTTGTCTTACTTGAAATTTTTCTCTGGGGCGCGAGTTCTGACGCACCCTATAGTATATTACAAATTTACAAAAACATTTGGATAAAAGATGTTCCTAATAAAACTGAAGTAAATAAAGAAGTTTAAAGAAAAATCACGGTTTGAATACATTTAAACTTTTAATAAACAAGAATTCAATTTTTTATTTTAAATTTGATTTCTAATATCAAGAAATAAGAAAAGCTCATGATTTAATGAGAAAAAAACTCAAGATCTTTTGAGGTGTTTAAGAGAAGTAATTTTTTTATTCACAATCATCCTCCAGAAAGCCAATAAAGGATTTATCAAATTTTGAATAACATGCCATGACAGTTCAGGTTGGGAAGTGGCCATTTCCCAACCTGAACTTGATATTTTATATCGATTGTTAAATAAAATTGATCAACTTTTCACATCCAAAGTAATTTGATTATTACTTTATACAGGCTGCGCCAGAACTCGCGCCCCAGAGAAAAATATAATAAATATAAGGTAAGATACCAGAAACATGGAAAAAATGTTAAAAAAAATTTATCTATAAAAATTCGAAGTTATGAGGGTTTAAAGTTTGCACTTTATTTCTGTTGAAAAAATAATTTTCCAAGTTTTTTTGCTATAAGCTATTAAAAGAGAAAACAAGGAAGCTGTATCCTAAATTGTAACTCTGTTCAATGTTATTTGTGGCTTTTATTGCCAAAATTTTTGTCCCTTTACTAAATAATTGTAAAAAAAACATATACAAGATCATCAGTATCATTAAATAGATATAAAAAAATGTCAAATGTCAAAAAATAAATGTCAAAATTTTTTGACAGAGAATTTTTTAAACATTTTTTTCATGTTCCTGGTATCTTACCTTACTTGAAAATTATCTCTGTGGCGCGAGTTCTGGCGCATCCTGTATATAAAATAATATTGTTTTTTTATTTTTTTATGAATTGAAACTGTTTCACGTTGTTGAAAAAATATTCGCTGCATTTTTTAACAACAAATCCATTATTTCATTGAACAGAAATAATACTTAGGTGACTCACTCTGTAATAATCACTTTTACATCCCTTTTTCTATTAATAGGTAGCTTAAAAAGGTTGTTAACACTAAATAATTACATAATAGCGGATAGTAAAAAGCCAAGTTCAAAAAGTTATCGTTTATTTTCTACAAACGAATCATTTTAGTCAGTACAAAGGTATTTATAAGTTTATTATCGGGTATTTTACGATAATTATTTACTTACTGCTTACGTACAAAGTCAATTCAGACATCAAAAATATGGAAAACGCAGACTAAATAAATCCATCAAATTATTTCAATAACTTTCTGGGTTCAGACAATCGAAATTTTTATTCTCGAGGTTATTGATTGGTATTTAGGATAAAAAAAAACAAAGTCTTTGAGATGTCTATAACAATTTTATCATATCAGGTACTTAAGTTATCAAATTTTGCTTAATTTGCAGTAGGTAGACATCAGTTATCAAATTCATCTAGAATTAAGCCACTTCCTGGCAACTCACAATAATAAGTTGATAACTTTTTGAGCACACCTTGTAGAGGATTACGTGATTTACTAAATGTCAAAGTCATTTATTAAATAAATCCATCAAATTATTTCAATAACTTTCTCGAGATTATTATTGATTTGAACTTAGGATAAAAAAAATAAAACAAAATATTTGAGATGTCTATAACAATTTTGTCATATCAGGTCCTTAAGCTGTCAAATTTTGATTAATTTGTCAGTTATCAAGTTCATCTAGAATTAAGTCATTTCCTGCCAACTCAGACTAGTTGATAACTTTATGAGCACACCTTGTAGAGGATTACATGATTTACTAAATGTCAAAGTCATTGGCGTACCAGTTATCACGTCTCAGGGATACCAAAAAACTATTTGTTTTTGTTTATTCCCGACCAAAATATTGCGTATTTTGATCAAAAACCGAATAGTAAACAAGAAACAAGGCCAAAAACATTTTTCTTTTATTTCGTTTATTTTATTGCAACACATGTGTGTCATTTGATCATTTCATAATTGTATTGTTATAAAATTTCAAAAATTGAAGTGTTTATAACTCTTCTTGAAACTAGTTCAAGTAGTGATAGCGGAATTTTTCCAAAATAATTTGAATAAATTACCGATTGTAACAATCGAGTTACTATGTTTCAACAAATGCAAATCGACACTGGCCGACTAGATGTAGCAAACATGTTTACGATAAATATCCAATTTTGTGAAATGTGATAATGCAACATGTGATACGGCATAGCATAGCATTTCCTGGATTTGTTTACTTTTTATAATGGGTCTTCTGTCTTGTTTTTCTTACCTGATGTGTTTGAACCCAATATTCTGTGCAGTGACGCTTTTCCATGGCCCATAGAGATAATCCCTGCATATTCTTGCTGCGAATTCCCTCATTTCGTTCGAATCACCCGACACCTGCCCACAAAGCAAATCTTGAAACGTTTTATTACAGAAAAACCTCTTGTGCATAACTTGAGGCGTCAATTTCGGCAATATTCTCATTATTCTATGGGGTTTCACCCTTTCGAAAGCCGACAGTTTCTGGATTAATCGATAATTGTACGCAGACGCTCTCAAATTTACAGGATGTTTTGTAAAATTCGCGCACACCCACCTTTTTTGCCATGTTTTTTGAACGCTGAGGGCTTTATTGCACCGAATTGAAACAACACTGAAATGAAATTTGTGGATTATTGAGACACTAAAGTGGTCCTACTTTGGTCGAAGCGAGACTGATGAGTGCTCAAGAGAAACTGGTGTCGACTATAAAGATAAAAATTTTATCTGAGGTGAAAAAGAGGGGGCAAAATTTGCTTAGAACCAAGGTTAATGCTGGTGGTAAGGTGACGTATCGTGTGACGTCGAGACTTAAAAGGTAGCGTCATTATGCACTTTCGCCAACCAATCAGAAACAAGCACGAAACTGGACGTTTTTGGGAGAAATTTTCTAAAAATAACTTTGTCTTTGTGTTGGTCTACTAAAGTAGCTCCAAAATTTTAATACATTCTAAATATTGCAAAATTTTAAAGCTAATGTTTTTTCTTCACCAAGAATATAGTAGGTTAGTTTTTTGAAAACACAAGTTTTTTTTACTAAATATATACATTTCTTAATTTTTAGAAATTCAGGATAAGTAAATTTTTTTATTTGACTTTAATATACTTAGATCGGATATAGATGAAAAAAACCTAATGTTTTATTCACATACAGGGTGTTAAAAAAAGATTGTAAAATATTGTAAATTGACTCAAAAATGCTGTTATTTTTACTTTTTTAGATTGTGCTAAAAAATTCTTCAAAAATAATACAATTTCTGTTTTAGGACGTTTTTTAGTCAAAATCGAAATTATTTTGAAAATTTTTGTTGAAAATAAACTATCACGAAAATAAAATTATTTTTGCTTCTTTGGAGAGTTTAAGCATGTTTTTTAGCCGAAAATTGTTTTCCAGACGTTTTGGCAGATTTTTCATCCAAAAGCACAAAACTTCGTCAAAAATAGGGCGAAAAATCACACAATTAATTCCAAAATGATTTTTTTTGCGTCTTTAAAACATTTAATTGCGTTTTTTAAGTCTTAAACACAGTTTTTTCTTTAATTTTTGCTAAAACATACCAAAAAATTAATACATATACCAGACTAATTCAAAAACGACATGATTTTCGCGCTTTTCAAGCGTTTTAAAATATTTTTCAATAAAAAACGGAAAATTTAGTCAAAAATACGTCGAAAAGTCATTGAATTAAGTAAAAATAGTGTTATTTTTACTTTTTTAGATTGTGCTAAAAAATTTCTTCAAAAATAATCACGAACATAGTTAGATCGGATATAGATGAAAAAAAACCTAATGTTTTTTTTTACATATAGGGTGTTAAAAAAAGATTGTAAAAAATTTCAGGAGGTAATACGGTGCGATCGAAAAAAAATAGATTAGAGTAGGCGGTGATTATAATCCTTTAGATGGCAATCCTGATTTTTGACATCAAATGTCAGCCGAAACTTTGACAAGTTTGTGTTTTATTCATTTTGGATGAAATAATGTTCACTTTAGAGCAGAAAATTTTTATTCTTGCAAGTTATTACAAAAACGCTGTTCAAGAGAAAAATGTTAAATGGTCATTTTCACTTCCAGTTTGTGTGGAAATTTCCAGCAAAAGTTGTTGCCAACTGTTGAAGATTAATCGTCGTCTACTCTAATTTATTTTTTTTCGATCGCACGGTAGTATGGATCAAGATAAACAAAAAAGTTTTAATAAACATGGGTCCGCAAAATAACTTTTTTGTTTATTTTGGTCTATACTATAACTTTAAATATTTTACAATCTTTTTTTAACACCCTGTATAGTACATATAATTTACGAGCCATCAAATGTTAAAAACTTAATTTGTTTGCATAACAGCTGCGAAAAATTTATTAGAAAAATAAGTTTGTGAATAAAATGGTATATAAATCTCATTGGGAATTTTATTACACCCTCGAGGCTACGCCTCTCGGTCATATAACCAGAGCCCTCGGGGTAATAATTATTTCCCCATCTATTAGTAACAAAATTTAAGAGTAATAAAACTGAAAACAATTATTCTTGATTTCTTTTGTGATTTCAATTCTTTCTTTCAAGTTTCAAACTAAAAAAATTAAGAAAATTTTTACTTACCTTGTTTAATACTAGGAAAGAAATAGTGTTTTTTTTTCACCAAACTTATTTTTAGTAATGTAGTAATGGTAGTAGAACAGTTGTATTATTCAACAGTCACTGCAGAATGTAAAGTACGTCATTTTATATCTCCCAAGAGAAGGATATTTTATACATTTGGCTTGTCAGAAAGGATTAAAAATTTTTGTTGTTCTATAGTAAAAATAGGATTATTGTTATTTCAACTTGTGGGAATTTTTCAGGTATATTTTCCACGAATAAAAAAACATCAGTGGGAAATTCTTCAAACTTGCATAGAATTTATTTTAAAGCCGCTTAATGAAAAATAATAGAAAAAAATATATACAGGATGATTTTTAAAAAACGACAGGCGCTGTAGAATTTTTATGACCCGAATTAAAAAAATAAATTAAATAGCTATAAGCTGATAATTTTAGAATTTTTCCAATATTTTGGGCTTATTCAACTTTTTATTTTTAAATTGGAATCCATATTTTTTCTTCATAATTTGGAAAGTATTCATTTTCTGGTGTAAAAAAATCTAGATCGTAGAAAAAATATAATTAAAACTCTTAGGGTAAAGTGCAGTGTGTACTCTTACTTTAAATAGTTAGGTAAATTCAACAAATTCGTAATATTTCTAATAAATTCAAGGGATTTGAGATGTTTTCATAATTAGAACAAAAAGGTGTTATTTTATTAGTGGCGCTACGTCATATTTTTGCATATATTAATAGAATAAAATTTCCACATGTTTAATTAATGGCAACAGATGGAAAAGTTTATCTGATTTGGAGCAACCTATTGTGCGTTTTAAATTTTGGTAAACACTTTTATTCCTATTTCTGGCGCTTGAGGAAAGGAGGGATAAAGGGCAATAAAAGTAAAACTATCAGAATTAATTTAATTATCAACTATAATAATTTATAAATACAGCACTAGAATTGAAACAAAAAAATGTTCAATAAAACAGAAAAAAAATAAAATAAAAAAAACAATTCATTAGCAGTCTAAAAATGATGAAATAACAGTACAGTTTTCATGTTCATAATAGCTATTTCGCATAATATCTTTTTATACAGAGCATTTATTTTTTGAAGTGTTTTTTGTTTTGTTTCATTTAATATTATTACTTCAGATCTATGACTAGATATTTCAAGTACTTTAAAAAAATATCGTACTTGTGACTAGATTTCGACTCATTCATAACTTAAGTAACCATTATTTTCAAATAGAATTGCCTGAAAAAAATCGAATTCTTTAATCGACTAAACAACGTTTAAATCGATGAAAGAATTCGACGCGACAACAAACAAACACAACCGCAATATAAAAATTTCTCATTCCCCTAAAATAAAATCACAATAACAGTCATCCCAATCGAATATTATCTACAGAGAGAGCAAATCAGAACAAAACCCCCCATGACCCCCACATTTTTCCCCCCAAAGCTAAAAGGCAATCTCAATGTAAATATATCCTAATGTTCATATTATGTACACCGTGTTTTGTGTTACTATGTGACTGGTCTGAAACGTCTGCATCTGACCTGACTTTCCGATGGCGGATCGCCGGTTGGGGGCGGCGGCGGCGGCGGACCCTCCGATGTGTCGGGCGAACTCTCGGGGGCGCCTATGAGACACGTGGGGATGCCTCGGGCCGGCCTCACACCTACAAACCACCGCCTTACACCAATCGCCATAATAAATAACCTACGACGAGGTCACAGAACTAGCAAATTATACAAAAAAAAAAGAAAACATCAATTTTGGCTGCCAATTGAGGACACAAATTGCATTTTCGCCGCCAATTGAGAAAACAAATTTGTTTCATTCATTTTGTGGCTTACTGATACTAATGTGGTAAATTTGAATTAAAAAAAATATCAGTTATTTATTTGCACATAATTTAAATAAATAAAATAAAAACTAATTGTTTTTATTCTTTATAGGAAATAATCAAAAAAGATAATACGAGCCCGAGGGGTATTGAAATATTTCCCTCCTCGGTTGTAATATACTATTTACTTCTTTTCCCTTGAGCAGTCAAAAAATTCAAGTAAATTTTTAGTCTCATTGACTTGCAAAATGTTTTTTGTTGCTATCTGAGGAAATTAAAATTTTCAATTGAAGGGGTAAGTTGATAAAAGATCCATTATAATGCATTAGTTTATATTATTAAAAAATTGATAAAAGTGTTATGTACAAAAAACCATAAACTTTGTGATAATTATTGCTTTATAAAAATATTTCAAATTTAACAAAACACTTATAAATCAAATTCTAACGACACAATATGAAAAATGCTGTCTCGAAAATTAACATTCTCATTTAAAAGATTTTTTTTCTTGTTTACTAGGTATAATTTTGAAGCTAGTTCAACGACTTTTTGAAAACGGTTTTCCATATTTTTCAATAAGCAACGGAAGTATCTCGAAAAATTTAGACAAAAATATACCGAAAAGTCACCTAATTAAGTGGAAAATAATGAATTTTGCTTATTTACATCACGTTTTTTGCAAGATTCTGTTAAAACATATTGAAAAGTCACCAAACTGGGTTGGAAATGACCTTCTTTATGATTTTTTTGGGTGTTTTAGCGCGTTTTTCAATAAAAAAATTACAAAATTATTTCGACACAAATCACTAAATTTACTCAAAAATGGTGTTATTTTTACTTTTTTAGATTGTGCTAAAAAGTTCTTCAAAAATAATACAATTTTTCTGTTTTAGGACGTTTTTTAGTCAGAATCGAAATTATTTTGAAAATTTTTGTTGAAAATAAGGCAAAAAATGAATAAACTATCACGAAAATAAAATTATTTTTGCTTCTTTGGAGAGTTTAAGCATGTTTTTTAGCCAAAAAAATTGTTTTTAGCAGATTTTTCATCCAAAAGCACAAAACTTCGTCAAAAATAAGCCGAAAAATCACACAATTAATTCCAAAATGATGTTTTTTGCGTCTTTAAAACATTTAATTGCGTTTTTTTAAATCTAAAACACAGTTTTTTCTTTAGTTTTTGCTAAAACATACCAAAAAATTAATACATATACCAGACTAATTCAAAAACGACATAATTTTTGCTCTTTTGCAATGCAATTATTTTGCAAAATTTAGTCAAAAATACGTCGAAAAGTCATTGAATTAAGTAAAAATAGTGTTATTTTTACTTTTTTAGATTGTGCTAAAAAATTTCTTCAAAAATAATAAAATTTTTCTGTTTTAGGACGTTTTTTAGTCAGAATCGCAATTATTTTGAAAATTTTCGTTGAAAATAAGAGAAAAAATGAATAAACCAGCACGAAAATAAAATTATTTTTGCTTTTTTGTAGAGTTTAAGCATGTTTTTTAGCCGAAAAATCATCGGGTTGATTTTCCAGACGTTTTAGCAGATTTTTCATCCAAAAGCACAAAACTTCGTCAAAAGTAAGCCGAAAAATCACACAATGAATTCCAAAATGATGTTATTTTTGCCTCTTTAAAACATTTCATTACGTTTTTTAAGTCTAAAACACAGTTTTTTTTTATTTTTGCTAAAACAGGTACTAAAAAATTAATACAAATACTAGACTAATTCAAAAAACGACATAATTTTTTGCTTTTTTCAAGCGTTTTAAAATATTTTTTAATAAAAAACGCAATTATATTGCAAAATTTAGTCAAAAATACGCGAAGTCATTGAATTAAGTAAAAATAGTGTTATTTTTACTTTTTTGGGATTTTTACTTTTTTAGATCGTGATAAAAAATTTCTTCAAAAATAATATAATTTTTCTGTTTTAGGACGTTTTTTAGTCAGAATCGCAATTATTTTGAAAATTTTCCTTGAAATTAAGAGAAAAAATGAACTACGTAGCACGAAAATAAAATTATTTTTGCTTTTTTGTAGAATTTAAGCATGTTTTGTAGCCGAAAAATCATCCGGTTGCTTTTCCAGACGTTTTAGCAGATTTTGCATCCGAAAGCACAAAACTTCGTCAAAAATTAGCCAAAAAATCACACAATTAATTCCAAAATGGTGTTATTTTTGCCTCATTTAATTGCGTTTTTTAAGTCTAAAACACAGTTTTTTCTTTAATTTTTGCTAAAACATACCAAAAAATTAATACATATACCAGACTCTTTTCAAGCGTTTTAAAATATTTTTCAATAAAAAACGCAATTATTTTGCAAAATTTAGTCAAAAATACGTCGAAAAGTCATGTAATTAAGTAAAAATAGTGTTATTTTTGCTTTTTTAAAACATTTATTTATTATTATTTATTATTTATTTATTTAAACATATTTTAACACCTTTATCCAATGTTCATTCAACAATCCAATTTGTACATTACGCCTTTAGCATTTGGTAATTTCATTCCTAATAGAAAAGTCCTTTTCAATAAAAGAATATTGCGAAAAAAATTGTTTTAAAAGAAAATATCAGTTTTCAAAAAATGCTACATAACACCTTTATCCACTCACCCCTTCAATTATAATTTGAATAAAAAAATTTGTTTACTCAATTGGCGAGAAAAATCAGACTTGATTTTCACAAAACCAACTCAAAAAATCAATTTCCGGTGCCAATTTACAAATTTTATTCAAAAAATAAATGTTTACATCGTCGATTTTAGCACACTAGTAACTCACCTCCGGCCGTCGAGTGTCTTTTGAACCTGAGATTCAACTGGCTCGGATCAGTGACGTATTTTTCACCTTGACGTCGACGTCGCAATCCCGGAGTCAAATCCCCGCTCCAGGACATGCATTTCGCTAATCTTTGACCACCGACAGCGACCGGAATTTTTGAAATTCGGCCCGGATCCATCGCCGGACTCGTCTGTCATCATAAAATCAATAAATTGTGACTTGTGGTGGTAGAAAAAAAATTTGTGTGTAACTCACCGATGATTCCCTCAGGATTTGGCTTGCGTTATCTACGCCACTGTCTTCATCGTCCTGTTCGTGACGTTGCTTATCCCTGAAAAGGGGATTTTCAGTGGCGTCGAAATACTCTGATTGTTCGTCCAGGCCAGGACTGAGCCCATTTGCCATCAATCGTCTCTCCCTAAAAAAATTGTATAATTTCAGGAATTTTTCGAAAAAAAACTACCTTGGTGTTTCAGAAGCGGCCGAGACGAACGTCACTGCCGGATTTGTGGTGAGATCCACCGATGGTGAACATTGCACTCTATCGTGTTTCACTTCTAAATTCTTTTTTTCTATCGAATTTCTCACATTTTTTAAATTCTGCTCCAATTTATCGCCGGTACTTGAACTACTTTCCGACGCTGAATGTCCTAAATTATTCTTAATTTTTTCTAACGGTTTCGATGTCGGCTTTTGGGAATTTGTTAAAGGTACTACTTCTGGTTTTTTGTCCGTTTCGGAACTACTCGACTCCGATTCTTCTTTCTCATTCTCGATTTCCTCCTTCTTTTCCTCGGGTTCTTCCGCTTCTAGACTCACTCGTTTTTTCATTTTCTCTTCTTCGTCGACTTCCGGTGCGAACGTGATTTGTTCGCGTTTCGGGCTCGGCATTTCCTGTCCCTCGTTCCTCTCTTTACTACTCTGTTTCAATATACTTTTCGTTCTCTCCAATTTCACTTTCGGCTTTTCTGGAGTTTCTGGAGGTTTAGGAACGTTTTCTTTTGGCACTACTCGAATCTCTAATTTTCCTGCAACCTCTTGCAATCCCTCATCTTCCCCATTTTGCTCCTCTTCTTTATTTTCACTCTTCAATTCTTCCTTATCTACGAGATTCAGGATCGGTAAACTACTCCATTTCGACGTTTCGGCCATTTTCGGCTCTTCTTCACCCTCGTGGAGGTGACGCGAAGCGACGTTTCTCATAACATCGACACGAAACACGAGATCGTCAAAGGCGGCTTGTTGTAAAAGTGGAGGTTTGAGACCGGAACGCACATAAGGACCGAGAGAGGGGGTCGACCAGGCACGTGGAAGTCCACCTGAAAGTCAAGGTTAGAAAAAAATCATCAAAAAAAAAAAAAGGGAAAGTCTTTGTTAGGCGGAGAGTCGAAACGGAAATCTCGATTAGTTAATAATTTAGTTAATAATTTAAAAAGTTCCTGGTAGGTGGCAAATATTTACTCGGAAAATTTAAAGCAGGAGAAATTGAAAAGTTGGCTGATTGGGCCTAAATAAATAAAATCAGGTCGATGACATTTCAAAAAAAACTTTTTTTATAGCAACTTAAAAACATTTGGTGTACAAGTTGCCAATTAAAATTGTTTCGCGAGTGTTTTGATATTTTAGCACACAATTAAATAATAAAAAAAGATAAACCAAAATCTGGCGAAAAAACGCAGTTTTCAGCTTGAAAATCTGCATAAACTCTTGAAAAAAGCAAAAATGGCATGCTTTTTGGCCAAATTCTGTGATTTTTCGTCTTGTTTTCAACAAAATTTTGCGAAATAATTGCGTTTCTAGCTGAAAAACGTGCTAAAACGCTCGAGAAATGCAATTCTAGACTTAATTTCTTGATTTTTTAGTTTGAAAAACATGAGATTTTAGTACAAAATCGTGCTTAAAAGCATTTTCGGACAAATTTTCTGGTTTCTCAGCTATTTTTGTGTTAATTTTGCTCAGAAATCAGTAAAATCGAGTGAAACAAACAAAATAACATCAATATTAATCCTTTTTGTGAGTTTTAGGCGTGTGAAATGATCAAGTTAGAGCCTAAGAGTTAGGTAAAAATATCATACTATAATATTTTTTATAACAATTTAGCGATTTTTAACACTTTGGTAAATTCGCGCGTAAAAACACGGTTTTCAGCTTAAAAATCTGCTTGAACCTTCGAAATAGGAAAAAATGATCACTTTCGGCCTAATACTGTGTTTTTTTCAGCTTGTTTTTAACAAAATTTTGCGAAATAATTGCGTTTCTAGCTGGAAAACGTGCTAAAACGCTCGAGAAATGCAAAAATAATGTAATTCTAGACTTAATTTCTGGATTTTTTAATTTGAAAAACATGAGATTTTAGTACAAAAACGTTCTTTAAAAGCATTTTCGGCCAAATTTTGTGGTTTCTCAGCTTATTTTTGTCTTAATTTTGCTCAGAAATCAGTAAAATCGAGTGAAACAAACAAAATAACATCAATATTAATCCTTTTTGTGATTTTTAGGCGTGGGAAATAATTATATTATGAAAAATTAAAAAAAAATCATCAAAGAATTAAAGGGAAAGTCTTTGTTAGGAGAGTCGAAACGGAAATCTCGATTAGTTAATAATTTTAAAAGTTCCAACTTGAAAAGTTGACTGATTGGGCCTAAATAAATAAAATCAGGTGGATGACAATTAAAAAAAACTTTTTTATAGCAACTTAAAAAAATTTGGTGTCCAAGTTGGCAATTAAAATTTTTTCGCGAGTGTTTTGATTTTAACACATAATTAAATAATAAAAACATAAATTACGTGTGTAAAAGAATTAGAAAAGATAAACCACAATTAATTACATGTTTAATTACAATAACAGCCGTGTGACACATTCAAAATCCCCGATATACATCATCGTAGATAACTTCATGAAACCATATTTTAGGTTTAACACTCAGATTGCATGTTAACTCGACGGTTTCCATCGATTAGGGATCAGTTACGTCAATTTAGATTTAAGATAAATGAGATAAACTTGACGTTTCTTAAAAATAACTTATCAAAAATAATAAAAGAAAACGATCGTTTTATTGAAATTTTATTAAAAAAAACTGGAAATGTAACTATGTTGCCAGATCAAAAACATAAAATTCACTAGATCCGAGTTAAAAAATTTGCTAAATTTTCACCAGATTACGATTTGTAGGGCAAAATCTCGAGAAAAAAACGCAGTTTTCAGCTTAAAAATCTGCATAAACTCTTGAAAAAAGCAAAAATGGCATGCTTTTTGGCCTAATTCTGTGATTTTTCGGCTTGTTTTCAACAAAATTTTGCGAAATAATTGCGTTTCTAGCTGAAAAATGTGCTAAAACGCTCGAGAAATGCAAAAATAATTTAATTCTAGACTTAATTTCTTGAAAAACATGAGATTTTAGAACAAAAACGTGCTTAAAAGCATTTTCGGACAAATTTTGTGGTTTCTCAGCTATTTTTGTCTTAACTTTGCTCAGAAATCAGTAAAATCGAGTGAATCAAACAAAATAACATCAATATTAATCCTTTTTGTGATTTTTAAGCGTGTGAAATAATCAAGTTAGACTAAGAATTAACTAAAAATATTTTTTTATAACAATTTAGCGATTTTTGACAAGTTTTAGCAAACTTTTGAAAAAAATAGAGTTTTCAGCTTAAAAATCAGCTTGAATCTTTGAAAAAGGAAAAAATTATATCATTTTCGGCCTAATTCTGTGTTTTTTTGCCTTGTTTTTAACAAAATTTTACGAAATAATTGCGTTTCTAGCTGAAAAACGTGCTAAAAATCCCAAGAAATGCAAAATTAATGTAACTTGAGATTGTAGTACGAAAACGTGCTCAAAAATATTCTCGGCTTATTTTTGTCTTATTTTGCTCAAAAATCGAGTGAAACAAACAAAATAACACCAATATTATTTTCTTTTGTGATTTATTTTTTGCAAAATAAATGAGCCTCAGTCTCAAAAACAAAGTAAGCTGAGTGAAACAAGCTGAAAATAATATCAATTTCGTAATTTTTTTGACTGATTCAACGAAGTTTTTAGAGTTTTCTTTGCTTGTATCTCAAAAATGTGTTTAAACACTTAAAAAGGGCAAAAATAACGCCGTTTTTGGTTGAATTTGTTGAATTTTTGTTGTTTTTAACGAAATTTTGCGAAATAATTGTGGTTCTAACTGAAAAAGTATTCGAAAAAGACAAAAATAAATTGTCATTTTTGATATCGTCTAATAAAATCCTGTAAACAACAAACTTAATTATTTTTAACCAATTTGGTGGTTTTTCCGAAATAATCAAGTTTCTATTTGAAAACGTGACAAATGCTCGAAAAACAGTTTTTCACTTTACTGTTTATTTGTCAAGTCAATAAGACACGATTTGTGTACACAAAACGTGTTTATTGTAGACTGATAATTTTGTATTAGTTTAATTTACAAAATAATATTAAAACTCGCTCGTCAATATTTGCATATTTGACTTCGAAATTACTAAACTTTGCACATACATATTCACAAGTTTTGCTTTTCCAAAAATCAATAATAAACCACCCAAACTACAGTGCGATCAAAAAGTCTTTCCATCAAGTAGGCGTCCTAGTTGAGGACGTATGTTGCATAGCAGTTCGTATGTTATCTAGATGTCAAAAAATTATTTTATAAAAATTAAAACATTGAGCTAATTAAATTGAATTATTCTATGAAACGTCTTAAAACAAACTAAAATAAGATTTTGTTGGTGTTTATTCAGAAAAATCGTTCACCACGGTTTCCTGTCATAATTTACATAAAAAATATTTTGACATTTCTCATTTGTCATTGTGACATTTTATCTTCCACAGACATACGTTTTAAATTTCTACGCCTGCTTGATAGACAGACTTTAGTACTTAAATAAACTTAAAGGTTGGTAACACCTACCGACAAGTTCTGGATACTCCTCAATCCCCGCAATATTAATATACTTCTTATGACTGGTCCTCGAATCCTCGCTGATTCTACTCAAAACCGGTGGTGCTTGTCCACCATCAGTCACCGCCAACGTGGCCTTATGTTCGGGACTTTCCGGCTTCCATTCGTTATCCGTCGTCTCTTCACTATCATCAAACTGTGATTTCCATTGGCTCGCCAAAGTCAAAGCCCCGCCTCTTGTCACTTGTTGACTCACATTCTCATCATCGATCACCGCAAATTGCGTCAAACTCTGATCTCTGAGTCCTGATCGTGACGATCTCGCCGCCGACGGTTGCCGCCTCCTTGGTCTCTCCTGTTCGGGAGTGGCAGGCGATTCGACTAAACTACCGCCACTTTGAGCGGGCGTGACCACCCGTAGTCGACCCAACGTGGCCACACCGGATTGGCTCTTTCGCAACGGTGCTGGTTTCTGATTGGCGTCCGAAGTGGATTTGGCCGAAGCGACCGCCTCGTTGTCGAGACGTTCGGGGGCTTGCTCGAGATGGGAGGTGGCGCGACGACGAGGGGCGGCGGGCTGTTCCACGGGGGTGGCGTTGCAATTCTTATCGACGGAGGGGCGAACAGAGGCGTCGGTGGCGAGGGGAACGGTGTTTTCGGTCTCGATGCGGCGGCGGCGGGCCTCCAACTGGGCCTAAAATTAACATTAAACAACACAAAATCACAAGGCGACAACTTGACAAATTTTATATCATTTTGTTCGTCTCAGTGAGACAAATCAAATGCACTGAAAAAATTTTTTTAAAGTCCACACACTTTGAACAAAATATTTTTTTCTAATTTAAATGAATTTAAAATACTTTAAATTTAAAAAATCATTACTCAATAACTATTAGGCCGATTTTCTTCAAATAAAGACCATTCTAAAGGGATGGCCTTGCCCTTTAGAATGATATAAAATTTGAAATTAAATATTGGCAAACTTTTCTTCGATCAGTGTTCGAAGAAGTTCGAAGTAAATCGAAATAATCTAAGAAAAACCCTACGAGTAAATTTTTTTTCATCTTACCATCATGTTGAGCATCTCTTTATTAGTTGTAATACAAATTTTCAAAAAAATATACCGAGTAGTTTTCAAGATATGATTTTTTGAAGTTATGGTTTGTTAATCAAGCATTGCTCCTTATAGGAGAAATGCATGTTAATCTTACTTAAAATTGCATTTTTATAAAAGTATTTGTTTTAAGACTCTTCTTTTGCTTAAAAATGGTCAATTGCATCTTTTTTGTTCTAATTACAATAAACAAAAACTGTTTGTTTACTTAACAAATATAGAGTACCTACGTACTAATTAAAGCAAATAAAGAGTTTTTTTGTTGTAAAAATGACTACTGATCATTGAGCAAAGAAGATCTAGAAGTTTAAGGCATGAGTCTTAAATATAAGGGCAAATCTTTTTCAAATCAAATCACTTTCCATTCAGATTTTGACTTGTTCACTTTGTTCTAGCTTTCTGAAATTTTTTTGAAAATGTTTTAAGCAAATGCTTTCTCATCACTTTCGAACAAAATGATATAAAATTTGTCAAGTTGTCGCCTTGTGTAATTTCTTACATCTTTGTTGTCAGTAGGTTCGATATTTTCTTGATTATTATCAGTAGTGGTATGTTTGGTATGTCGGGGAAGAGTCGTTGGGGCTGTCGGGGGTTGATTCTCCGCCGTTTGAGTCACAGTGACATTATCACCGGCTGGTGTCTTTTCCCAATCATACGGATCCGATGGTTTAACCCCTCTACGTTTCATGCAACGTTCAAACAAATTTATTAACATCTGAAATTGTTAATTGTTTTAAATACTCGGCTTCGCCTCGTATAAAACACCAAAACCTGATAATCCGGCTTATCTGCATACTCCAAACTTTGAATATGATCAAGAAACTGCTTCAAATCGGACGGCAAATGTTTGAGCAGTAACCTATGATCATATTTTTCTTTCATCAAACCGACTTGTTCCTTATCTTTGACTTTCCTCCACGGTAACTGTCCATTAACGAATTCGACTAGCATATAAAACAAACTCCAGAGATCATCATGACGTCCCATTTCTATAAAAATTAAGTGAGAAAAGTCACAAGGCGTGGCTTAATCCAACTCCGCCCACCTTTATTCTTATGTGCGTTGATACTGGCATATCGGACAGTCCCCCTGAAACCAGCTGCCGCTCTTGGTGCTCTTACTTCTCCCGTCGCCGTCGTGTATTGCCTCGCCAGTCCAAAATCTAACATATAAACTTTTCGACAATTGTATTGCAATCGACCCATTGAAAAATTACTCTAAAATTCATCGAGTCGGTAAAATAGTCACCTGTAATTTACAATACGTACGGGTTTGATATCACGATGCAAAAAACCCACGGAGTGTATACTTTCAATAGCTTTGAGTATCTGTAAACCTAGACGCAAGGTTGTCGATAGGCTGAAAGCGGCTCTAGGTTGAGCCCTTCGGAGTTCGGCCAGGTTGCGGCCTTGGAGTTGCATCACGACGTAATTGAACCTATCATTCCTACCACAGCCAATAAATCTGAAAAAATAAAATAAAACTGATTTTTTTATGCCCCAACCATTAATTAATTGAAAGCATTTGCGAAAATTTGAGCACAAGTCATGTGGGTGGTGAACTTATCGATCAATTTTCCGACTAAGTAATGAAAATAATCTCGGATTTGAGTGATCGATAGGAAATTCTGTCGTTTCAATTGAAACTTGAGACAAAGAAAAGATGTGAATTTTATGTTATTTTGGTTTGTTTTGAAGGAAGAAAATTAAGTTCAACAATTTTAAATAAATAAATACGCATTTAATGAATGCTGTCATAAAAACCAGACAGGATAAAAATCAAATTAGGAATTTATCAAAATACCAATTAAAATTTTTATTAGGATTCTTCAATCTAACATTTGTTTTCGAACGCCCACGTCTCTTGCATACGCCTACACGAAATTGTTTGAACTTTATCTCGATGTACACAGCGAAATATGGGGGATGTATCGGGTAATTATTTTACGCTTCGGGTACACAAAATAAATACGAGATAAAATCACAATGAATTAGTATACCGGGTGAATTCTAATTAATTAAAACTGACGATATTTCATATACCTAACTAATTACTAATATGGTGTATTTGAGGATTTTTCTATTTTTTGATAATAATAGAAGAGCTTTAACAGTTTGTTGTATTTTATGAATACTTTCTGTTAATTTACATACCAGGTGAATAAAAAGTATAGAACCAAACGTTTTTCGCTTAAACTATTTATGAATAATAAAGTGTTATAAAAATGTGATGTTTTATCAATAATAAAATTTTTCGATTTTTTTTTTGTTTTTGAGTCCTACAAAAAAAAATTTTCAAATGGCAACCCACTATAAAACCATTTTTCTCATGAAAGTTATGATCTAAGGATTACAACTAACTACTTTATAGTTAATTTTTTCAAATTGTTTTTTTACATAAATTGCAATTTTGACAAAAAAAAATCGTATAATTCAAAAACAAAATCAAATTTCGTACTCAAAATACTATCACATTTTTTATATTACTTTAATTTATATAAATTATTATTTTCTGGAGGCAAATGATTAAAAAAACCGCTTGGTTCCGTACTTTATACATGGTGCGCCAGAACTCGCGCCCCAGAAAAAAATGCCATGTAAGGTAAGATACCAGGAATATGAAAAAAAATTTATCTATTATCAGAGTTTAAATTTTGCAATTTAACTTTATTTATTTCTGTTGGAAAAATACTTTTCCAAGTTTTTTTTGCTACAAGCTATTAAAAGACTTTTTATATCTTTACTAAATAATTATAAAAAAAAACATATACAAGATCATCAGTATCATTAAATAGACATGAAAAAATGTCAAATCTCAAAAAACATATGTCAAATTTTTTTGGCAGATAGATTTTTTTAAACATTTTTTTCATGTTCCTGGTATCTTATCTTACTTGAATTTTTTCTCTGGGGCGCGAGTTCTGGCACACCCTGTATAAAGTTTTTACACTTGGATTGTTATATATCTTACAGTTAATAAATAAATAAAAATGATTTTCAAAGATAAGATGGAAAATTGCGTTTAATTCAAAATCTAATTGGTATTTTTTTCTGATTTCGTAAACAATTACAGGAAGTGAATCTGCGTAGGTCAGTATAAAAATTAGAATTTAACTTTTTGGGAGAAAATTACTTTTTGTTACTTTTTTTTTTGGCTTTGTTTGTAAATAAAAAATTATCTTATCAATGCCCAGATAAGTGTGAAAAATTTCAACAATTTCAAAATTAAATTAAAAAAAATCAATTAGGCTTCACGAAGAAAATTCGTGTCGTAGATTAATTGGGACATATATTGACGAAACTCGCTCAAGTGAAAGTGGATCTCTCACGACACTTGGCACACGTTCAAAAACATAAAAAAATGCAAAATTCCCGGCTTACTACGATGAAATTCAAATATGATACGATTGTAGCATAAGTATGTCGTAGATTAATCGATAGTTTTCTCAAAAAAGTTTAGTTCCCTTCCTGTGACAACATTATGTCGCGAAAACCCCTATTTGCATAATCAACATAAACATAACTAATCTTGAAATAACTTGTTCCGACATGCACAAACAACGATATACTGACATTGACAAGTAAAAGTGGTCGTCCTTTTATAAATATCCTCGTCGATTTTTTTTATCCTTAATCGATACAAAGTCACAAGGATCGTTAAAAATTATCAAAAAATCAACATTTTGTGTACTTTTTTGCGTAAGGTGTCAATATTGTTTTAATAGGGGCGTGTGACCTTGAAATAGTATCACTTTTTTACCTGCAAATATGTTCTTTTCCTTGCAGTTTTTTCAACACCGCCACTTCCATTTTGAGCACTTGTTTCGGTTGTCTCGCCGATTCGACTTTAAGTGCCACTTGTTCCCTTGTTATCAGATCCAACCCCTCGTAGATTTCCCCAAAACCACCACCACCGATTTTTTTAACCACCTTATAAATGAAAAAAAAAAATATAAAAATTGACAAAATTTCTTTTATCCTTTCTCACCTTCCACCTTTCTTTGACCACATGTCCTGGCTGTAGAAGATCCTCGGAAGTCATCGTGATGTTGTTGTTTTGATCGGTCGAATCAAGTTGCCCTTCCCAGCTTAATTTTTTCGGCCTGTAATAAAACGAAGCACTTTTTCAAACATTTCGTCGCGAATTTTTCCGGGAGTTTTTCCGGAGCGGCGAGCAACCAAACCGTCAACCTTGTTCGTGGTTTTGCCTAATAGAAAACCAGCTGATCGACGATTGCGCCTGCGCAAACCGGAAAACTACAACACGGCCTTCGGAAACAAGAAACGCCCGGACATTATTGATTTTTCACGATTTTCAGGAAAATTATCAAACCGGAGCGGCTAAACAAAGGACACGATCCTGGTCCATTTTTTAAATTCGTCGCTTAAATCCGAAAATAAATCCGGGACAAATTTAGACAAGGAACGAAAATAGTACAAGGCGAATTATGACAGGTAGGGTACACCTTGATCCTTAACCTCACATTTCGAACAAAGAGATAAAAGTGAGCAAAGATCACCCGGTATACCTTACTCGACATAGAAAAACTAAGAAATCAAATCATGCGTTACTTAAAAAAAAAAGTAAAAAAGCTCCCACTTTGATTCTTGACGTTTGGCAGCATTGTGCGATAAAAAATTCGCTCAAAAAAAATAAATTCCCTATTTTTGCTCGCAAATAGATTAAAACATGCATAAATTTGTTAAATGCATCGCTCGAAATCATAAATCAAGCCGATTAAATTTATTATTTGACGTTTCTTACGGTTTGAAGAAGTGTGAATCGATACGGACGCCATCTTTGACATGAACGTGAATGTAGCAGCAAATGGAGAACGGCGCGAATTTTGATTTTTTTTAATGTTTCAATGATTTGTGAGAGGTTTTGATCGTAAAACACGGAAGATTGGAAGATAAACAGTTGGAAATAAACATTGTTTGTGTCCTTTGGGTATTTATAGGTGCGACCTTTGGTTAAAATAGTGCAGCGGGTTATTGTTGTTGCATGTAATGAAGGACGAGTGCATTTATATCAGAGATTTTTAATATTTAAGATAAGAGAGAAATACTTCAAAATAATTTTATTTTGTTTCTTGCAACACTAAGTCAAAACTGAAATAGAAAATTTGCTATTTTTGTTTGGAGTAACAGGATATATCGTATTGGACTTCCTTATTTGAGAAAGACTTGTTAAAAATAAATAATATAAATGAATTCTACGATTTTATTACACTATGGATGCACTCAAAAACCGCACGTGGCGTTTGTTTTGGTTGAATTTCTGGCAGAAAATGTTGAATTTTTGGTTGATTGCACACTGTGGTATATAATTTGACGGTAAAATATTACAGCGGAAGATGAATGTACTTGTTTTATAACGGCGTAATGTATTTATGGTCGATTAAATTGCTTTACAAAATTAGAAAAAAAAATATTAATGTAACACGAGGGGTAAAACACAACTCAAACTTTGTACACAAGATTTCTTCTTTCCTTTGATTTCCCCTGAATTCTTTGTGGATTCTTTATGATAGTTTTTATTTATTAAAACTAAAAAAATGCTCGAAAAAATACAAAATTGTCAACTTGATTTAAAATTGTGTTTGTTTTTTGTTGATATTATTTCACTTTTTGGATGATTTTTTTTTCCGAAAACTATGTATTATTTAATATTTTGGTGTCATTTCGAAGAATAAAAGATCCGATTGGCTAAAAAAATTGGGGTTTCCATTTAAAAAAAATGTCGATGACGTCATAACTCAAAAACCAAAAAGTGTAAAATTTTCAAGTTGTAAATTGTGTAAATTGTGCATTTATGCAGAAACAAAATATTTTCAGTTTTAATTTTGCCGTCCATATGACAAAGTTTTGTTTTTTTTTTTAATTTTTAGTCGAAGGGACGAAAAAATCCTTAAAGCTTAGCCTTCAGTTTAAGCTCCACCCACCTGTCATTTCTTCAATGCCTCCTTTATTTACA